GGTTGCCCCCAACTGCCCTCCCCTGCTGGCCCGGTCACCCCCAACTGCCCTCCCCTGCCGGCCTGGTCGCCCCCAACTGCCCTCCCCTGCAGGCCATCTTGTGGTGGCCATCTTTGACCACTAGAGGGCGGCCATCTTGTGTGTTGGAGTGATGTTCAATGTGCATACTGGTTGTGGCTAATTAGCATTCTGGTCATGAATGTGAGGGTGTTGTGACCAATTTGCATATTACCCTTTTGTTAGTATGGATGATACATCGATATGCTTGAAAATGAAGATTGTCCTATTTATGATTATATTTAACGTACACACATGTTTCTTGTTGTGTACAATAGAAATAATCCTAAAAGGCCCTGAATGTATCTCTTATTTTTGTGGCTAGAATAATTTTTACATTGACTTAGTTTAATTTTAATAACACTTTTGCAGAAAATGGGGATAACAGTGGTACCTTTTTCATAGTGGTGGCTTGTGTTGTTAATCAGTTATAATATACCTGTTTACAGAGTGCCTGGCCCACAGCAAATGCTAAGCAAATCCTATATGCTTATTCCACTGCCTCTACTACTGTTATTGCTACTACTAGGTTATTTTCCTTTGCTCCTAAAAAGTTTTTTTGAAAATTTTTATAGGCTTCTTTAAATTTTGAAATATATTAAGATTTTATAGTTATATCACCTTATTTTCGGCCAATTCATGTGTATAAGACTGTATACAAAGTTTCCCATACAGAGGGTATTTGAAGAATACAGTAGTCCCCTCTTATCTGTGGTTTCACTTTTCAAGGTTTCAGTTACTCACAGTCAACCACTTTCTGAAAATATTAAATGGATAATTCCAGCAATAATCCATTAATTTTAAATTGCACACTATTATGAGTATCATGGTGACATCTTGTGATGTTCTGCCCTATCCCAGAGGTAAATCATCTCTTTTTCCAGCATAACCACACTGTATATACTATTCACCCATTATTCACTTACTGGCTATCTCCATTATCTAGATCAACTGTCATGGTATCACAGTGCTTGTGTTCAAGTAACCCTTAATTGACAGAAGGTCAATGGTAGCCTAATGCTATATCAGAATGCCCATGTCACTTATCTCACTTCATCTCATATAGGCATTGTATCCTTTCACATCATCACAAGAAGAGGATACAGTGTAAGATTTTGAGGGAAATCACATTCACATAACTTTTTTTGCAGTAATGTTGTAGTTGTTCTATTGTTAATCTCTTACTGTACTTAATTTATGAATTAAACTATCATAGGTGTAATATATACACACACACACACACACACATGTACACATACACATATATACAGTGGGGCCTTGACTTACGAGTGTCCTGACTAACAAGTTTTTCGAGATACGAGCCGTCTCTCGGCCAATTTTTTGCTTTGAGTTGCGAGCTAAAATTCGGGTTACGAGCCAGCTTCAGATACCCCACCGCTAGTTGGCGCAGCGAACGTCACAGTGAACACCACAACATCAGCCCAGCATCACGTGTCTCACTCGTTCACTTTTTGATTTGACATACGAGTAATTCGAGTTACGAGCTCGGTCACGGAACGAATTAAACTCGTAAGTCAAGGCCTCACTGTATATATATTTGTAGGGTTTGGCATTATCTGAGGGTTTAGGAACCCACTGAGTGTCTTGGAACATAGTCCCTGCAGATAATGGGGGACTACTATATAAAAAATTTCTGGCTCTAGCTGGTTTGGCTCAGTGCATAGAGAGCATCAGCCTGAGGACTGAAGGGTCTTGGGTTCGATTCTGGTCAAGGACACCTGCCTGGGTTGTGGGCTCAATCCCCAGTGTGGGGAGTGCAGAAGGCAGCCAATCAATGATTCTCTCTCATTGATGTTTCTACCTCTCTTCCTCTACCTTCCTCTCTGAAATCAATAAGAATATATTTTTTTTAAAAAAAGATTTAAAAGAATAAAAAAGCAGCCTTCCTGGGGATTTTCCTGGGCCAAAGCAAAGTGGCCATAAATGTGAATTTTTTAGCCACAATTTTCTCCATCAAGCTGTTTAAAGTAAGCATTCACGAATTCATTATTAAGTCTAGTAGTTTTTTTATGGAGTCTTTAGGGTTTTCTATGTACAATATCATGTCATCTGCGAATAATGACAATTTTACTTCTTTTCCAATTTGGATGCCTTTTATTTCTTCTTCTTGTGATCGCTATGGCTAGCACATCCAGTACTATGTCGAGCAGGTGGGGTGAAAGTGGGCATCCCTATCTTGTTCCTGTTCTTACAGGAAATGGTTTTAGTTTTTGCCCATTAAGTATGATGTTGGCTGTAGGTTTGTCATAGATGGCCTTTATCATGTTGAGATATGCTCCCTCTATTCCCACTTTGCTGAGAGTTTTTATCAAAAATGGATGTTGGATTTTGCTGAATGCCTTTTCTGCGTCTGTTGATATGATCATGTGATTTTTGTCTTTCAGTTTGTTTTTGTGGTGTATCACGTTTATTGATTTGCGAATATTGTACCAGCCTTGCATCCCTGAAATAAATCCCACTTGATTATGGTGTATGATCTTTTTAATATATTGCTGGATACAGTTTTCTAATATTTTGTTGAGGATTTTAGCATCTATGTTCATCAGGGATATTGGCCTTTAATTCTCTTTCTTTGTAATATCTTTATCTGGTTAGGGAATTAGGATAATGCTGGCCTCATAAAAAGAGTTTGGAAGTGTTCCTTTCTCTTGGATTTTCTGAAATAGTTTGAGGAGTGTAGGTGTTAGTTCTTCCTTGAATGTTTGGTAGAACTCCCCTGTGAAGCCATCCGGACCTGGGCTTTTGTTTGGTGGGAGTATTATGATAACTGCTTCTATTTCATCAGTTGTTATTGGCCTATTCAGGTTTTTTCATTTTTCCTGTTTCAGTTTTGGGAGATTGTATTTTCCACGTTGTCCAGCTTGTTGTTCATAGAATTTTCTTATAATCCTTTATGTTTCTGTGGTGTCAGTGGTTACTCCTCCACTTTCGTTTCTGATTTTATTTATTTGGGTCCTTTCTCTTTGTTTCTTGATGAGTCTGACTAATGAGTACTTCATGCCATTCCCTTCTGGCCTATAGAGTTTCTGATGAGAAATTTCTGGTGTCAGCCTTATGGAACTCCTTTATAGGTAACAATTTTCTCTTGCTGCTTTTAAGATTCTCTCTTTGTCTTTAATTTTTGGCATTTTAATTATGATGTGTCTGGGCGTGGGCCTATTTGAGTTCTTGTTTGGGGTTCTCTGTGCCTCCTGAACTTGTGCCTTTTTCCTTTACCAGGTTAGGGAAGTTTTCTGCCATTATTTCTTCAAACACCTCCTCTATGCCTTTCTCCCATTCTGCCTCTTCTGGCACATTTGCTGTTCTTATATTGTTAAGTTTCACGTTGTTCCACAGCACACTGAAGCTTTCCTCCTGTTTTTTCTTTTTGGTTTTCTGATTGAGTGATATGGGATGTCTGCCTTTTGAGCTCTATCCCCAGTTCCCAGTCCTGGCTTCTGCTCTCACAGATCCAGTCCACTTCACCCTCCCTCTGCCGGAGCACAAGGTGGGTGGCTACACAGGGAATTTTGTGCGTTGGCCCTTTAAGAGGGTGCCTAAATTTTCAGCTGTTACTCTCTGGCAGACAGCACGCTGCTGCTTTTCACAGCCAGATGTTATGTGGGTGCCCTCCTCAGTTTTGGTGTTCTCTGCTTGGGGGGGGGGGGCGGGCAGCTTAGGGATTGGACCCCAGAGTTCTCAGTGGCAACCCCCCACAGCTGAGATATCTCTCCAGGACTTCAGTTGCAGTTCTATGGGCGCCCAGCCAGCCCTTTCGCACCGCCATCCTTCCTACCAGTCTCTATGCTGTCTCCATTTGCCGTCTCGGGTGTCAGGGTTCTCCTGCGAGTTTTCCGTTTTCCGTAGATTATTCCGGAAGTTTTTCAGTATTTTAGTTGTAATACCAGTTTGTTCCTGGGAGCATGTCCGTGAAGCATACACTTACTCTGCCGCCATTTTTAATCTCCAATCTCTTCCATTTTGTTTCTTCTATGTTTAATGAAATCTAAGAAATTTATTTCCAGTGGTTTTAAAAACACTACATTCTTTGCATTTTTTTCTATCTTTCTGGAGCTCTCTTGTCTAAATAGCAACATATTAATTCATACATCTTAGCTTCTTTTATCTTTTGCTATTTCTCCTTGCTTCTTCCAGAAGATGTCCTCAAACTAAAAATTCTATCTCTTGCTTTATTTTTATGTTCTTCTTTTTAGAGTCCTTTTTATTTAATTGCTCTATGTGTATTGAGACCTGGAATCAGAAAGCTTAGATTCAGGTCCCAGATGTTGGCAAGTGTTAACCTCAATTTTTTTATCTATTCAATGAGGAAGTTGTTCTAAATCTGGAATCTGCAAAAGAAAAATTTCAAAAAGCATGATGGAAATACTTCACTTAAGGTGGTACACTTAAATGTTATGAGAAATTCTTTGAGGTCCAAACTAAGGTATCTTTTAATTTTATCATTTTTTGATTCTGTGACTTTATAGCAATAATGAAAGTGATTTTCTTTTTTCTCTCAACAGTATCTCACAGATGTTAGCTGTCCTTTCAAGATTCAATATCGACAAGAAGCAATTGACTGGCTTCTTGGTTTAGCCGTTAGACTTGAATATGGAGATAACGGTATGTTTTGTGGGGAATGTATGTTTTAAAGAGAGGAGGGGGGATTTGGGAAAGGAGTGTAAAAATATAGGGAATACCAGATTGTTTCTTTGTCTTTACTTTTGGTTCATTTTAAGTTTTATATATCTTCATGTTCCTTTTCAGTATCTATTTAAACACTTAATTTTTGGTAACCATTCTTCTGTGTCTAATACCCATCTCCCATCCCCCCTAACTCCTAAATTGTCTGGGAAAGAATTTTCTTTTCTAAAATTAGAGCCTTTTTATTATTATAAGAAGTTAAAAGCACTGTCTTTCATTGGTATTTAGATTTTTGTTTTGTCTTTTTTTAGAATTTAGAAATGGTGTCTTCTGGAGAAAGCATTTTTATGCCTTCTGAAAAAGTAGTATTTATTACATTAATAAATTTTTCATCTTTCACAGTCTGTACCTTAGCCTTTCAAGTTCAATTGTTAGTGTTCAAGAATTGATAGGATTTCAGAATGTTGATTGCAGCAGGTCATTTCACAAGAGACTGAAACATATGTCTAGTGCTGATATACATTATAGGTCAAAATATATTATTTATATGTAATAATCATTTTATTACAGATACTTATAGGACGCTTTTAAATACTAATATCTATAAAAAAAATAACGTTTCCTCTCATTAGACCATTTCATTTTGAAAGGCCTACCAATATCTAAATGCAAGATCCGATTATCTTGTCTTACCTCCACCCTCTGTGTTTTGTGTTGTTCCTTCTTATGCGGCTGTCAGTTAGTTCTCTTAATCATTGCTTTTTTAAGCCTTTTTGATATCTTTGAGTCCCTTTTCTTGCCATCCTGTTCCCATCTATTTTTTCCATGTCTATTGTATCTGTTCTGCCTTCCCACTACTATTGCCCTAATTCAGTCCCTTGTCATTTTCTACAGAGATTATTATAATCTCTCTCATACTGGTCTTTTAGCATCACCCTCTATTCTCATCAGCATGGCCATCAAGCTAACTTTTTAAAACAAATCTGTTTTAGAATGCTATGGTTGGTTTCCAAAAAAGCACCTCCTATTATATTCAGAAGCATCATTGCTTTTCCATTTTTCTCCAAAAGGGACTCCAGGCTCCTTAGCCTGGTATTCAAGGCCTTTGATAACTGGTGTCCAGCCAGTATTCATGTGCTTGATATTCCAGCCAAACTAGATTAATGCTGGCTCCTGTTTACGTCTCTTTTTTACTTCCTCGATTTCTTGGCTTACATATTCCTTTGACTAATATGCCATTTCACTCTATTCTCTACACATTCTAAATCCTGCTCATCCTTATAAGATCCAGCACAAATACCAATTAGCATTTCCTTCTGAACTTTCATAGTTTTTAACTCTATACCTTTTAAGTCATTCACTTTCCATTTTGACTTATGTCTTATTTGCCCCACTAAATTGTAAGCTCTTACTCAGTTTTACTTCCTACATGGTACTGTACCTGTATTAGTTTCCTATTGCTGTTGTAACAAATTACCACAAACTCAGTGACTTTAAACACAGTTTATTATTTTACAGTCTTGGAGGTCAGAAGCCCAGCCATTTGTTTTACTGTCAGGTTGTTGACAGATTCTTTTCGGGAATCTAGGGCAAGATCCATTTCTTTCTTTGTCTTTCCTATCTTCTGGAGATTGCCTGTATTCCTTAACGTTGTCCCTTTATCTTCAAATCTAACAGCATAGCGTCTTCAGTCTTTCTTTAACTCTATTTCCATTGTCACATCTCTGATCATCCTGCTCCCTCTTATAAGGGTGCTGTGATTACATTGGGCCTACCTGGATAATCCTTAATTTAATCACATCTGCAAAGTCCTTTTGCCATGTAAGGTAACATTCATAGTTTAAGGAATTGGGAATATGGGCATCTTTGGAAGGGAGTGGGCAGTCATGATTCTGTTTCTTTGCATATAATAGAAGACTTTTAATGTTTGGCAAATACAGTATTTGAATGTTCACATATTCTAATACAGAGCACCAACCAGCTCCAGACTTAAATTTCAGAAACTTTATGGCAGAAATATTAAAAGCTCCAACCCTTTTTTTTTTCCAGTTTGAATTTTAGTTTAAAATGAAAATACATATGAATAAATGTTGTAATCAGAAGCCTTAGTGGCATTAGTTGATTTTTAGGACCTTTAGGGAAGTCTTTATTCTGCTTTGAGTTGGTAACTCTATGTTAATTTCTAACAGAGTATTCTCCAGCTTTTCAAAAGTGTATGTCAGCTATTCCCAAATGAAATTGTAGTCATATTTCAATTTATTTCTGCTTTACTTTTACTGTATTTATTTCACATTTGTCCATTTTTATAATACTTTAATTTAGATTACCTATGTACCAGGAACTATAGATATCAGAATATTTTTATTGATTTCAGAGAGGAATGGAGAAGGAGGAAGAGAGACATCAGTGATGAGACAGAATCATTGATCAGCTGCCTCCTGCACACCCCACACTAGGAATTGAGCCTGCAGATCTCCTGGCTCATAGGTCCATGCTCAACCACTGAGCAATGCCAGCTTGGGCTAGCATGATATTTTTTTAATTAATAAAAGAAATACACTGATGTTGGATTTTTTTATATTGAAATTTATACTTGAATTTTATTTGAAATTTTAGCTGAATTATAGTTGAAAGGTAAATTATATCAAAAGTATATTAAAAGTCCAAACTAGAAAACAAGTTTTTGTGTAATCTTAAAATTCAGAATTGTAAGAACAGACTTTTTGGGGAAAAGGGCTAAAGTGGTAGTACTGTCCCTTATCAGTAGAAGGCACTGTTGTATTTTTGTGGTTTTACATTAACTCCTTGCATTCTTCTTGACTATTAAATTATTTAAAGTGTTTGTCCTTATTTGATGAAACCATTGTAAATTTGTATTGTGCTTTAGTACTTTTAAAGGTTTTTGTTAGCTTGTCAGTTAAAGCGATTAAAATCAGACTTAAGGGGGAAGAAAAAATGGCGACCAGCAGGAAGGTAGGGAGGGAGAGAGTGTGAGAGTGCAAGGAAGTGATAGAGGAGTGTGTGGACGTGTGTGGTGTGTGTGTATGAGCTAGGGACAGCTAGATTCTGCAGGTCTTCTAAGGGGCTGCTAAACCGGGCAGTCTTAGGCGGCGGAGTCCAGCTCCCGGCGCGGACACTCCTAGGCGGCCAGCCCAGGCACAGCGACCACGCCATCTTGGGAAACAGAGCTGCTTGAGACTAGGATCCTGGCCTCAGCACCACCCAGTCTGATCTCAGACGCATACCAGGACCCTGCAGCCACTGGGGACAGAGACCTGCGACCACAGCTACAGACCTGCGGACACCAAAAGTTCGGAGATCCCCGCGGCAGATCCGTGAGTAACAGAGCCCACCCCCCCTTCCCGCAGGCTCGCGGGCAGCGCCAGAGTAACTAACTGATAGATCCACCCCTTGCCGGGGCCTCAGCGCTGCAGGAACTTTGGCCTGGAAGTGCGCGAGCACCTTGGAACTGAGCCTGCGCGCACTTCGGGCTTCAGAGCCCTGGGCTGGGAGAAAACTCGCCCGCAGCACCAGGAACTAATCCTACG